GGTTGGGGTAGGGTGGGGAAGGTTGATAAGTGTTTTGGAAAATGTTTTCCCTCTGCTTGATAAGAAAAACATTTTTTCCAATTGAAGGAAGATGAGTTCATAAGTAAAATATTTTCCAAAACATTTAAGTCAAACAAACATAAAAAAATTGAAAAATATTTTTCGAAAAATATTTTTCTTCGTACCAAACACAACACAGTGTTACTATTTTTTTTAAAAAGGGCACTTACTTGGAAAGTAACAATGACTAGTTTGGAGGGGAAATCAACGCAACAGGAGTAAACGCATAATCCATGAATGAATACATTAATACGTAAGTTTTTTCTACTTTCAGAAATAAATTAAACTTATTATTTTTATAAAAGTTTAAAATAAGACCATCCGCGTAATTTGAATAGACCTCGTCTTTTTCAACTAAAGCAACAAATAGTCAACTCACGCGGCTGTTATAATACCATATTATTAAATAATTACAAAGTAATTAGCAATAATTATGTCTGGAAGCATGCTATTTCAATAATTTAAGCTCTTTTGTCAATAGTGGCACTAAAGAAACCAATAATGACACTAAAGTGTCCTATTTCTATGGATCACCCTAGAATTGGACTAATTTTAATTGTAAGAGGAGTCAACTAATTTGCTTAAATTCAAATTTTTATTAGATATTTTAGGTTGATGAATTATTTTAATTAGTTGTCTGAATGTATATTTACTCTGCAGATTTTCTGTTTTTAAGTGGCTATTAAAGCTCTGCTATAAAATATTTTAGTTGTCTGAAGTATATTTATTCTGCAAATTTTCTATTTCTAAGTGGCTGTTAAAGCCCTGCTATAAAATATTTAGTTTGTCTGAATGTATATTTATTCAGCCTACTGCTGCTTCATCTCTTTCTTTTTTTATTAAAAGAAAACCACCAGTGCTACACGTTTTTTTAGAATTATTACTAAATTGCTAGTGGCCTGAATAATTAGAATATAGAAAGACCATTCCCTATAATTAATCTTTCTTAACACGAATCAATTAATTGGATGTCCCAACTTATGTCCCCATTCTATTTATTTACTAGTAAATTTGCCGCGCTTCGTCTCAAAAATAAATTAATAAAATATAAAAAAATCCTTTATAATTTTATTTCTTTAATTTTAAAAAANTATATATATATATATATATATATATATATATATATATATATATATATACACACACACACATATAAATAAATTTGCAAAGTACACTATTCCATATAAATACCCAGGCACAATTTTTACAAAGGTGAGATTGTCCGTAAGCATAGCCAATTGAAAAAGAAAGACTACGTATGACCATCATGTGCCAAGATTTTCAGCCATAAATATGTCCCATGAACCTAAAAAAAATGATCAAATAGGTTAGGATACTACCACAAAAATAAGATTGTCGTTGAACCTCACCAATTGAAAAAGAAAAATTACACAAAATCAACATCCGTCAAAATTATATCTCCCGAACCGAAAAAATAACCAAATATGCTAGGATATGTGTTTGTAATATGTGCGACTAATATTATGCTATCCTATAAAACTATTAAAAAAATTAAGACATATGCAAGCATGAAATGAGTACATATAAAGATAATTAATTACTAATTAAAAGATAACCATATTAAAATATGAGTGTAGGAAGAAAATAATGCATATGTTTAAATGAGGAAGGAGAATGAAACTAATAAGAAGGATGAGGATGCGTTAGGAATGAAGGAGACGTTTCGGAAAAGAGTATTAATGGTATAATAAAGATGAAAGAAATTAATGACATATTGGGCTATTAAAAATAAAATAAATGAAAAATGAGGGGAAAGAAGTAAAAAAAGGAGAAAAAAATAATAATGATGATCATACAAAAATTCTTAAGATGAAAATATTTATCAAAATTGAATTGCTCATACAACCTCTATCTTGACCAATACGTTAAGATTTAATGTAAAAATTTCAAACGAGAATGCAACAAAAAGACTTTTAGATGAAGTATGCAGTAGGTATTTTTTCTAGTTCGTCATTATTGGAGTTTTATTATTTGTAGAGATAGTTGATCCTTTCTCTTATTAATCCATATAGGTGAAAGTACACAGTTTTCTTGTCTTTTGCCTTTCCTCTTGTTCTTCTTTTTTTTTGACTTTTTTTTTATTTATCTACCCATTCATTTTTTTTGAATAAAATTATCAAATGTCAAAATATTAAATTCAAATATAATTGTCAGAAAGTAGTCCAAAAATGTTAAGCTACTGATATTGCAGAGTTTTGAATACTGAATCTCGTATGAGAACATGAAAAACATTTGAAATATTGGTTCGCACTTTAAAATATTACATAATATAAAAAAGAAGAAGGTGTAAGAGCAACGGAAATACTAATATTAAAAACATTAACAGTAAGAGTAAGTAAATATTATAAAAAGTACCTCAAGCGTATCATTTGTTCCTCTCATAATCTGTCATAATTAAGGTTGGGATTGTATATTTCAATGTCATTAGCTACATAGCTCACGTAACTGAATAGAAATATTACTTGAAATCATATCCATGTAATTGCTCCATGTCCTCTGGTGCTATCCTGTAAAATAAATCAAAAGGAACAATAACTTGGTATTTCAAAAAATAAGTGAGTGTATTTTTTTTGTTCATCACATAATCAATGTTGGACTTGAATGTTGACGTTGCCATGTGAGAAGTAACAGAGAGCTAGCTTGAGGAAAAAATTTATTCCATGTACTAACTCGAAAGAGATCTTAAAATGAAATTAGATACAATTTCTGATCACTTTCTAAAAGTTCAATCATAATTAATCACGCAAGATTGTCGCACTGAAGCCCCATAATACCTCTTAACTAATGTTATAAAATACTTAAATGACAGTCAATGCATCAACAAAAAGTTTGTAATGGATTAAAGTAAGAATCGAACTTATCTAAATATCGCGATAAATATATCCATATGATAAAAATATTTTAACCCTTTAATCATTAAAAAGTACAATCATCAAAAGCAGAGTATTAGAAGAATGAGAAGAGAACTTAGAACATGAAATCTATAAGTAAATGCATAGCACAATTACTGATGCAACAGATATATTGCCAGCAAAACGTGATTTGTCCTTTTCTTTCTTGGAAGTTTGAACTCTAACTCCCTAATAATATTTTTCTTGCAAATCCAATTCTGAGTTCAAAAGCTTCTTCTTCTCTTCTTTTTCTTTTTTTTGGTCGATGTATATATGTTATTTGTATTAAGTTTTATAAAGAATAAACTGGGTGAAATGTTGGTTATTATGAGGAGGAGTGGTGTATTAATTGCCACCAGTATATTCATTATGTAATTTACTCATTATGACATCCTTTGAAACTGCTACCATTATTTTTAGTAATTGTTGCAACCTTTCCATGTTTATTGGAAGAACACAATCGTTCCATCTTTATTGGAACAACACAACTCTTGAGCTTTTAAATCACAATAAAGAACAAAATTGTAGGAAAAAGATTGGAAAAATGCAAAAAAAATAGGAAAAAGGATAAATAAGAATACTCATATATGGGATGTGCCACGTTAGACTTCTATGTCCCTCTTTTATATATTTATATAGATTTAGAAAGAATTACAAGAAAATACATATGACTTCACACCATAACAAAAAATGGCTCATGTTTTTAAGTTTTATCTCACCTAGTCTATATTGTACATATTTTGAAAGCACTTGTAAATTCAAAATTTATGTTCTTACAACCATTGCTTCTAAAAGCTATGGAGTTAATTCTTTGTTCTCACAACCATTGCTTTCACTCTTTCTTCTTCTCACATCTTCTATATATGCTTCAAGGGGCCGTATATTTTCCGTTTCTCCTCTTGTGTCACCTGCTTGCAATGTAAGAAAATTGAAGAATAGAAGTCCACC